GGCTTGGGAAGCACAAACATGCCTGCGGGAAGTGTGGGAAAAGCTTCAGCCGCGGTTCGTCCCTCAACCGGCATCAGAGGGTTCATCTCGCGGAGAAACCCTTCACTTGCTCCAGTTGCAGGAGAAGTTTCACGTGCAGCTCGGCTCTTAAGGACCACCAGAAGACCAACTGCCAAGAGAAACCCTACCAATGCCCCAACTGCGAGAAACGCTTCGCTTCCACCAAATCTCTCAAAAAACATTGTAAGCTTCACCTGGAGAGCGGAGCGTACCAGTGCTCCGATTGCGGAAAAAACCTCACTTCCAACTCGGCTCTTATCATCCATCGGAGAATTCACACCGGGGAGAGACCCTACCAGTGCCCCGACTGCGGGAAAACCTTCATGGCCAACAAATCCCTCAACAAACATCGCAAGAGCCATACGGAAGACGGGATCTTCGTCTGTCCAGACTGTGGGAAAAAACTCACTTCCAAGTCCACCCTCATCATCCACCGCCGAATTCACACGGGGGAGAGACCCTACGAGTGCCCCGACTGCGGGAAAACCTTCATGGCCAACAAATCCCTCAGCAAACATCGCAAGAGTCATATGGAGGAGGGCACCTATAAGTGTCCCGAATGCGAGGAAATCTTCTCCAAAAACTCGGCCTTCGTAGCCCATCTCAGGATCCACAGGGGTCAGCCCCCTTACGTGTGCTCCGACTGCGGGAAAAACTTCTTTGACAGCTCATCTTTTAAGCAACACCGGAAAAAACATTTGGTAGAGAAACCTTACCAATGCTCCAACTGCAACATGGGTTTCACCATTCACTCGGCCCTTCTCCTCCATCAGAAAAGTCACGTCGGACCCAGGCCCTACGTCTGCTCCGATTGCGGGAAAGATTTTCGGGAAAGCACCACGCTCCGTAGGCATCAGCGTATCCATACGGGTGAGAAACCCTACCGATGCTCCTACTGCGAGAAGAGCTTTCGGGCCAGCTCCACCCTCATCATCCACCAAAGGATCCACACCGGAGAAAAACCTTACAAATGCACCAAATGCACCAAATGCTTCATGTCCAGCTCTTCCCTCATGAAGCATCTGCGGACGCATCTCCGCAAGGAGCTGCTGGTGGGTCCCAAACAATGACTGATGTTGCCCAAAACCCTTCAAGGTGCCTTTGGCTGTGATAGGTGGGGGGATGGAAACCCTTCTTCCGCGCCCCGTCCACCCCAGAAACACATTTCAGCGTAATTTTCACCTTTTCTCCAAACACATTTCATGGCAGAGGACGTTTTCGGGACCAGGCACGCCGTGGTGGGTCACGGCACGGTGTTGGGGGACAGCGATGGCTTCTCGGTCCCCAACCCCTGGGGTGGCTTCAGGGATGTTGATGCCCCGACGGGATGGAGGGCAGTGGGGTTTGGGGGGGACCGCTCGCCTCTGCTCGTGCGTTAGGAACCTCCTTTAGAGGCTAAAAAGACCCCTTTTGAGCTTCCCACCTTCAAAAACATCTAAATATTTTAAGAGGAGGCCCAGGGGTCTCCGTCCCTCCGAGGTTTAGTCCATTCGATCGTTTGTTTTTATCGGATAAGTTTTCCAAACACACGTTCCCTTCCCCGAATTTCCTCACGCTCGCCGTCATCTGATTTTTATGTTGCCCCCTTTAAAATACACCAGGATGAATCTGGCTCGTTTGTGGGTATCGGCTTTAAAATGAGGTGCAATACGGTGGAATTGGGTTTTCGGGAAGGCGGGATCATAATTTAATTGCTTATGGTTGGGGGAAGAGATGGGGGACCCCCCTCCCCATCTCTGGGGGGGCCCTGGTTCTTGTCCTGAGCGGGTAACGATGCTCTTGACTGGCAAAAAGCCGAGCGTGTGCAAGGGGAAATGGTCCTGGGGAGCCATTTGCACCCCCAAAAGAGAAGCTGGGGGAGCTGGGACTGGGGCTGGAGAACCCAACTGTGGAGCTGGAGGGGACGTGACTGCAGATTTGGGTGGTCTTGGGGTGCTCCTGCACCCGGGGAGGGCTGCGATGGGTCCGAATTCCCGCGGATCCCAGCATCGGGGGGACATTGGGGTCACGGGATGGTGGGGGGCAGGATTTGGCCCGGCCCCGGTGGGTTCTGCACTCTGTGGGGTGGCTCTGCCCCACATTTCCCCACGTAGGACCGGGCACCTGGGAGCACCGTGAGCGGGAAGGTTCCCGTCCTGGGCATCCTCATCGTGGGGGTGGCACGGGTGGGCTCCGAAAGGGACCCCCCAGGGTGGGCACGGTGGCTGCAGGGGGAGGATTTGGGGAAGGCAGGAGCTGCCGCCTGGGGTGCAAAAAAATCGCCCATCGCCGTGCGAAAAGTCTTACTGAACCC